ATGGGACTTATTCGTAATCTTTTGAAAATTAGTTGAATGTGTAAATTCCGTACGTATGGAATTGGAGTTTCGAACTTAATTACAATTCAAAGTAGTTATAGATTACACACATCCATACTATCCTCCCTCATATAAATGGAATAAGATGAAATTAAATGTTCTTAAGTAGCTGTAATTAAAATATATTATTCGATGGCATGCTATCTGTTTCCGAAATGCTTATTAAACAAATGGGCACTAACAATACTTTAATTCAGTTAATAAAGATAGTATGAACATATAAGACGAATTAATAAACATGTGAACATTTTCATAACTAATTAATCGTGCATCCTTTCCGTGGTAATTGCCGTGTGCTACCCACTAATGCACAAATCTTTTTAGTGGAAATCCACTTTTCTGCTTCCACATTTCGCGTTACTGTGGACGGTGAATATGTACACTCCCTCTTGAACCTATACCGAATATGTCAGCCTCTTTCCCGGCAAAGACAAATCTGCTCTACGTGTAGGCTGACAGACTAAGCGGTAACACTTACTACCGCCCTGCTGATGCACAGGTTAATTTTGCAGACATGTCGCAGATAGACAGTTTAAATACTTATACTGCATGACTTCTTTTAAGGTGGCATTCTTTGGGGGCAAATCTTGAAGAATATCACTTCACTTTGTCCGCTTTTGCGTACACATGAACCCTTACTGCCTTGAATAGGAAAATTAATGTGGAATGTGTATGAAGCATTCGCTACCCTTGGCTCTGCAGTCACACTTGAGGTGTACACAAACTATGACCGAGAAAGACACAAAAGATGGAAAGCTTGTACTTTTCCTACACATTGGACGCCGTACTTTGACGTTTGTGTAAGGCCTATAGAAAGATCCAGAATCCCATTTGTGATGAATGCTTGTGCTATTCATGCAACCTATTGACTTGATGTATACATCATCAATGACCTCGGTTACATCCCCTCGAAAGCAGCTGGTGAACTTTTCTCTGGTGGCGCTCGAAGATTCCAACAAATCACGGAATATCTTCCACTCTCATTTCATGAAACTAGAACTTAACTACGCTCAAAACGGGTAACTTTATTCAAACCAACAATTTCCATAATCATCCGATTGAGATTGGGGCAATCACACACATACACATATATATATATACATCAACGTATAGATATATATATGGAGGCGCTCACAAAGTCACACACGCACAGATGTGTAAGTAGCCACACAGGATATGGAAAGGATATGTATATAAATAGGTAGAGTTTTACATGCATTCATACCCACACACGCACACAATTGCAAACACAGATTCATCTACGTTTGCATGTATATATATATATATATATATATTTGTATGCGTGTGTATTCGAATTTGTGTGTGGGATTATCTCTGGCTCCTTCCTGTTCCCTTTTTTATGCCTGCTCTGAGAAGAAAAAGATTTAGGCTTCAGGCCAGCCATTTATTCTTACAGAAAGACACGAAAACAAAACATTATATATGCAAGCTATATATTTACGCTTTGCTCGGTCCAAGATTAAACTAATGAGATTCACTTTCAAT